GTGCGTTTGGTACTTTAGACATTTCAGTAGTCCATGTTTAGAATGACTTTTATGTAGAATAGACATAATCAAACATATTTCACCCCCACCCTATGAAACAAGGTGAAACAAGCCTAGATTTCACCGATATACTCTCAAAATAACTCTTTTAAAAGATTAAATACGTCTTTTTCTTTACATTTTATTCAGTATTTAATTTTATTTAATGTAATTTATTTTTTTATAAAACTTTCATTTACCATCTTCAAAATATTATCTCTATAGGTTTTCAACAATATGGCTAATTTTTGTAATATATTAAATACTAATAAAAAAATTATAAAAAAAAAGTAATAAAATAAAAATTGGAAACTAATAAACTTCATATTTGATGTTATTTTAGCCGTATTGATGAAAACTTTATAATGATATATTTTGTTATTAAAAAAAATTCATTTGATTGTAATTTAATAAATTATATAAATTAATCAAGATATCAAAAATATATAAACAACTCATTAGAGATAAATTGGTTATTTTACCATTTACATCTTATTAAATCTTGATCAATTTTTTTTTTATTAACCTGGATATCCAACCCGCTATGTAAGTCGACTAATCCCAGGACGACTACTTGCTTTACAGATAGTCCGGAGTCACCGCATTTGAACCTCATGTTATGTCTTGCCTAGACACCAAACACACCTTCATAAACCTTGAGATCCTGCTACCGACAGGAACAAAGTCAAAAAATTTATTCCAGGTTAAAAAATTATCAAATAAACTAATTTAAAATTTAAAATTTTAAAATATCAATAAAGTTTATAAGCAAGATATATACGTAACATCTTGTTGGTGTTGGTTTAGTAATACCTATCCATTAAAACTTGCATTCTTAAAGGAATTCTTCATCACAAAATTACCAAAATATTTATTTGAAATTTTGCTCACTATTTATTAAATGTCTAAATTACCCTTCAATATCGATAATCAATAGACTTGAATCAGAATTTATCATGAACTACCAACCTGAAATACCAAGCGTAGTTGGTCCAATCGTATACGGATTATTTATCAGTAGAGTTCATAAATTTAATAATATGTTTTTTTTCTCTTAAATATTTTATTTCACTGTTTTTTTTATTGTTTGGAATATAGTAAACAATCTGCTCAAAATCCCTGATGATAATCATTTTTGGAAAATTCTACAAATTTAGAAAATTTTCATACATTCGCTCGTACTTTCTTCATGTTGGAGAATGTACTGAAGCAAAAAAAATCCTCAAAATATTTATTTTCTCCATTTTAAAGAATCTGTTACAGAATCTGTTACAGAACTGATTATCAGAAACGAAGAAAATGAAGATTTTAAGGATTTTGGCTAAATTTTGTTTTAATAGATTATCCAAAACTTTTCTAATATGGGAAAAGTACGAGAGATATGGTAAAATTATTCATATGTGAAGATTTCTTAAACATGATTGCTTAGAAGAGATAAATGATTTTTTTTATTTCCACTTATAAGAGTTTTTGAAATAAAGTGGCTAAGGAAGAAATATTATTTTATTAAATAAATTAAATATTTTAATAATATAATTGATATTATGTTATTCAAAATAAAGAAACTTTGAAGTTAATAATTAATTAGAGAAAAGATCAAATGAAAATCACCCTCATTTGTAAAAACCTTACAAAATCCACTTTTTTTTTATCAATGGTCAAGATTAGATTAATTTATATTAGGAAATAATAATAATTAAAAAGTTTATTTTTTAATTGAAAAAAAGACAAAAATGTAAAACATCAAATCTATAACCGAGACAACAAGATCATGTATACCCTAATATTAATGAAACAAAATCATTGTTTTAAATTATATATATCATCTTATACTTTCAAAGATTCTAACAAAAAATATTAGAATTATCTTGAAAATTATAGGTTTGCTAAAAACATCTTCATTTTATGTTCAAATATTATAAACAAAATAACATTCATCATAAAAATAGATCAAAGTGAGGACCGATGAAATTAGGTATATCGTAATAAATTTTGAAAAATAAAACACACTATAATCAAGTTAACATAATGAAACTTTTTGAATAACAAAGCAGAATTTTTTTACCATTACATTTCATGAATGAAATGGTTTCACCGTTTTATCAACACACAAATCAACATATTGCTAGAGAAGACATCTGACATTTTCATGTTTTTAGTACATGAATTCGTTTCAATCTTATTATGAAATGGTTTCACTGTTTGCCAAACACACATCATTTTCTTAACATTTAACATATCAACAATTACAATAACGACTATATAAATTCTCATCATTTTCATAAATATTTCAATTTATTGGGTTGCATTGGTTGTACAAATGCGATAAGTTGCATTTGAAACAAACTCTCTCTAGATATATATAGTTTGTTTCAAATGCAACTCATCGTATTTGTACAATCCATACAACCTAATAAATTGAAATATTTATAGAAATAATGAGAGTTCATTTATTATGATTTAAATATTTATGGAAGATGGATAAGGTTCATTAATTATAATTAATATTTTATATTAAAAAACAATTAAAACTTTTATGAAATTACATATTCATCAAATTAAATATACGATTGAGATTGAAATTGAGTTGTATATATATATATATATATATATATATATATATATATGTAGAGGAGCGTTCAAATGAAAACTTGACCCATTTGTGTAAACCGTGTAAACCAATCTCATCCGTCCATTTTCTTGATCAATAGCCTAGATTATATTATTTTATTTTAGGAAATTAAAAATTAAAAAATAATTAATATTCATTTTATTTAAGAAAAAAGGGTAGAATCGGTATTCATATCAAAAGCCCTCGTTTCCTATTTCCAAATACTCCCATTGTATTTTAGGAAATTAATATTCATTATTTTATTTTAGCATGTTCATTATGAAATTATTTTTTCAAATACTCCCATTGCATATGAGTCAATTTTGCAAAAGAACAAATTCCATTACGCATCCGTTTTATTTCATTCTACAAACTAAACGAATTAATTTTAAATACAATGCAACTGTGCTCACTAGGAAACTAGTTCATCAATCCCCAATAAATTACATAAAGAAAATATTGCACCAACATCAAAGTATTTGCTACACTATTTCATAATGAAACATTTTCACTATGCACCAGCTTCATGATATGTCTATTTCATAAATCATTATGCACCAGCTTCATAATATGAAACCTTTGAACAATGATGAATTACATGAACCTTAATAACATATAAAATTAAATAAAACTGTTTCATCATGAAACTAATTATTCAGCCTCAAGTCAAATATGAAATGAAACTGTTTCACCAACATCAACCCCTTTCATAAACTATTTTGTACTGAAACCTTTGCTCATCAAAAGTGTTGYATTATCATTAATTCCATTTTCAATATAATGAAACTGTTTCACTATTATATATTGAATCATTTATAAGATGAAAAAATGTATTACGAAAATGAAACTGTTTCATTTTACTAAACCCATTTCACGAATCTTGCATCTCTTAGAATATGAATTTTTTTACATCATGACAATGTTTCATTGATATATATAATATG